TCAACCCTCAGTTTGTTCTCTGTATTGAAGAGTCTCTTACGGGTTTGCCTCCCTCTCTGTTTGAAACTATTTTTCCCCTTCCTTCCCCCATGGTCTTCTGTTAAGCTTTTCAAGTTCCGCATAAGAGTGAAAATATGTGATATCTGTCGTTCTCTAACTGACATATTTAACTCGGAGGGATTTTAAATCTTAGTAATATTAAAAAGCGACTACTGGGCTCATAAGAAGATATCGTTTACCCAGAGCCATAATTCATTTTATACACTATCTTCTCCGGACAACCTCTGACCATCTCTCTCCTCACACCTTCCACCCTTGATGAAGGTCACACAGCACCCCAGTTCAGCGTCACCATATTCCTTTTTTACCTTCCTCTTCTCCATTAGCATTACCGCCGCCGCCACCACCATTGTCATCATAGTGAGTGTTTATAGAGCACTTAGGGTGGTTGTTCACCTCCTTGTCTACAGGCTATGTGTACAATCCGAGACCCTTAGTGTGTGCCTGAAGCCGTGGGCAGTTCCCAGCCCTACTATGTGTCTCCTATGTCTTCTTCTGTACGTACATACCTATGATAAAGTTTAACTTGTAAATTAGGCACAGTAGGAGCCGGATAACAATTATTAATAACATGGAACAATTATAACAACATACTTTAATAAAAGTTACGTGCATGTGTTCTCTCTCCCTCCAAATATCTTATCGCACTGTACTCAGCCTTCTTCCCAAGATGCTGTGAGATTAGAAATGCCTACATGAGAAGAGGAGGAGAGGTGAATGATACAAGTGTTGTGATGTCTATTAGGCTGCAGGTGACCTGAGGATACTTCAGGAGGAGGATCGTCTGCTTCCAGGCGGTGGTTGACCACAGGTAACTGAAGCTGCCGAAACCATGGAGAAGGGGCTCTACTGTGTGTGCCGAGCACAGTATTAGCTCATTTAATCCCCTCAACATTCATTACTGTGGGTAGCTCTATTATGACTCACTGTTTAAAACGTTTTTTAAAGTTTGAGAGAGAGAGAGAGAGAGAGAGAGAGAGAATGAGTGGGGGAGGGGCAGAGAGAGAGGGACAGAAGATGCTAACAGGCTCTGTACTGACAGCAGCCACCTCAAGACAAGGCTAGAACCCCAGACCGTGAGATCATGACCTGATTCAAAGTTGGATGCTCAGCCAACTTAGCCCCCAGGCGCCCCTATTATTCATATGTTAGAGATGAAAATACTCAGCACGGAGCTGTAAAAAAAAGTGGCAAAAATAAAATTTAAATTCCTAACAGTCTGGGCAATGGCTAAACACAAGGCCGTCTTGTTTATTGTTCAGTGTAATTCCTACTTGTTGACTTGTCTTTCTCCCCAGCTTACTTAGTGCTGGCCGAAGGATAGGTGATGGGCTATGTGGATGGGTACTGATTTTACGATTCACAGCCTTTCTAAAACTGTAGGCAGATGTGTGAAGTTAGTACTTTCAGGCTTCAGGAACATATCAACTATTTTTTCTTATAAATGCTTTTCGTCTCTTGGTAGAATCCCCCTCTGCCCATGTGAGGCAATCAGCCTTCGTGCATTTTGCTCTATTTAAAAAGAAAAACAAAAAGCACTCGTGAGTTTATTGGCCCTAACATGTAATCAGCTGATATAAATCAAAAGCATATTTGCATTTTATTTTGTTATTTTATTTTTAAAGAATCTCTATACCCAATACGGGGCTCGAACTCACAACCCCAACCAGCCAGAAGCCCCTAAAAGCGTACTTACATTTTAAAAAGTAATAGAGCCTAATAAATAACTCCTTAGGGGTGAAAGTAGACTGAGGTCTTCCTCATCTATTGGTTTCAGGTAAACCAGTCCAATTTATATCTAAATTAGTTCATTTATATCTAAGCTTTTTAAGTGATCTATTTTCTCTAACTGCTTTTATTTTCTGTCCTCTGGATATTCTCCCCCTAGTCCATTGAAATTAAAACACACAAAAAAAACGTTATCACTAAATCCAGTGGTCTTTCATTAGAATACTTTCCCTTTCAACTTTTTTTATGGCCTTATTTCTTTTCTCATTCCTTCTGCATTGAAAAACTCTAATCCTAAGATTCATGTAACACTTGTTTCGTTCCTGTCCCACTTCTCTGTCAAATCTTCCCCCCCTCCTTTAAAAGCTTTTCTTCTTTTGATCTCCTAATTGTGTGAATTCTTCAAGCTACTTACTACTTGAACAAATAATACCCATATTTAAAATTGTCATTGGTGGGGCGCCTGGGTGGCTTAGTTAGTTAAGTGTCCAACTTTCGCTTAGGTCATGATCTTGCGGTTCGTGGGTTCGAGCCCCGCATCGGGCTCTGTGCTGACTGCCAGTTCAGAGCCTGGAGCCTGTTTCAGTCTGTGACTCCCTCTCTCTCTGACCCTCCCCTGCTCATGCTATCTCTCTCTCTCTCCTAGAAATAAATAAAACATTTAAAAAATAAATAAATAAAATTGTCATTGGTGCCCCCTTATTTATACCTTCCCAAAGTGTGATGTTTGGAACAGTGTTCCCACGAGACTGCATTTACAAATGAACAGCCAGGAGCCCTGGCAGACACTTCTCTTGCCTGTAAGTTCTAAAGACTGTAAAATTCAACATTCTCTTTTATGATCTTACTTCTAGATGAAGTGACCAAGTAACACAATTCTGGCCGATATGGTATAAATTGAAGTCTGTTGACCCTTCAGCCTTCTTCCTGTTTTTGACACGGACTTGAAGCAGGGAAAAGTAAAGTGAATTGCAGAGATACCAGCTTTCATACTGCACGTAGGCCAGTAATGTTCTGCCTTCTGAGTTCTTAGGTAAGATGGAAAAATCTCTATTTGTTTGGACTGCAGTAATCAGGCGATGTACATCTTACAGCTGACCATACTCCTAACTAGATATAAGAGTGCAACATACTGAGGTGCCTGGGTGGCTCAGTCAGTTAAGCATCTGACTGCAACTCAGGTCATGATCTCATGGTTCGTGGGTTCAAGCCCCGTGTTGGGCTCTGTGCTGACAGCCAGCTCAGAGCCCGGAGCTTATTTCAGATTCTGTATCTCCCTCTCTCTCTGACTCTCCCCTGATCACGCTGTCTCTCTCTCTCTCTCTCCTTCAGAGATAAAACATTAAAAAAAATTTTTTTAAGTGCAACATACCATATGTCCCTCTTAGAACTTCAGAATGCACAATACAGTATTAAAAATAAGAAATTGGGGTGCTTAGATGGCTCAGATGGTTAAGTGTCTGCCTTCAGCTCAGGTCATAGGTTTGAGCCCCACTTTGGGCTTTGCCCTGATCTTGCCGGTGTGGATCCTGCTTTGAATTCCCAGTCTCCCTCTCTCTCTGCCTCTCCCTCACTGTTTTCTCTCCTCTCTCTCTCTTTCTCCCTCTCAAAAGTAGGTAAGCATTTTAAAAATGAATAAATCTGCTTAATTTTGTACCATAGATCATCTCCCAAACTCATCTGATCAAGGAGCCCTTTTTTCCCTGTATTATTTACCGTCCCATAGAACCCAGTTTCCTACATTGTTGCTTTCAAAGTGTGATCCCTAGACCAGCAACATCTGTATCATCTGGAAACTTGTTTATAAACAAAAACCTAAGGGCCCAGTCCCAAACTGAAATCTACATTTTAACAAGACCACAGGTGATTTGGACGACATTAAAAATTGAGAAGCCCTGCTTCAGAAACAGTGCTTAGAGGATAAAGTACAACTAACTTTAACATCTTTATGTGACCTATTATATCAAGACATCTGTTGTCATTGTCCCTGAATGCCTACTTCACTAATAACCACGCAGTTCTTACTCATTGCTCACGTTGTACAAGGCATTGTTTGAAATACTTGTGTGATCCTCAACGTAACCCTGTGAGGCAGGTACTCTTATAATCATCTTACAGATAAGACAGCCGAGGCTCAGAGGAATCAAGCAGCCTGCCCAAGTTCACACAGCTCTCTGCTGACAGAATTCTTGGTTTAAGGGCTTAAGGGTCACCATGCTATATTGCTTCCTTTACCTGTTTTTTGTTTTTGTGTACTTTCCTTCTTTGTGTACTTTACACAAAGGTTTACAGTGATCTCCCACATACACCAGTTAAAAAAAAATCTCAGCTCAGAAAGTTAGTTCTCCTGGGAAGGTTTTTTGATCCTCTCCCCCCAAGCCAGGTCAGGTCCCTGCTATACATTCCCCCGGAACATGTTTTTCCTTCATGCTTATCAGCTTTTAAAATTATTTCTATTTTTGTGATTATATGCTTACTGCATGTCTTTACAAAAAAAAAAAGAGAGAGAGCTCTACTGAGGCTTTAACTATATCTGCTGTGCCTGATAGATGGCACTCGAATATTTTTTAGAATATCTTGCCTTAACTCTTACCGTCACTTGAAAGGTTCTCTCCCTCCACATCACCTATCCAAGTTCTATCCAAAAGAAGCTGTAGCATGGTAGCAAAACATGGGATTTCATTCAGAATTTGAATCTGAATCTGAATTTGGATTTGAATTCTTGTACATATTAGCTTTGTAACTTTGAGCAGTCACAAAATCTCAGAGCCACAAAAGCTCAGCTCTGTTACATGGGGATAATACCTCCTCACAGGAATGGTATAAGAATTTAAGTGAGGCTTCTGAAAGAAGCATCTAACCTACACAGACAACCTAAAACTATAGGATTCTGTTTTATAGTGATTGAGACCCTAAATTGTGTCTCTGAGTTCCAGCTCGGGAGCAGAGACTTGAGTTCAAATCCGAATTCATTATATTTATTGTCTATGCAGTTGACTTACAAATCTATTTTTTACTGGATTTTTTCACATATTTTTTCAGCTGCATTCATACTTAATTTATTATGTTTTTATGTTTTATGTGTTATCTCCCAAACATGGTACATATTCTGCACTGTTGTATTTTTTTGTTCAACATAAGCGCTTATAACCTTCAGCACGCAGGAATTCAATCATCTATATTTATTTGAAGGACACACATATTTGCTGTACTGAAAGTGCAATAAGTAATAAAGCTCAGTAGGAATGAAAAGTAGTACACATAGCAGTTGCCATCTATCTATGTATATGTTCACAAGTGCTATTTTTCAAATTACTTTAAACCGAGATGAATTGCAAAAGAAAGTCCAGCAGGGAAAATTAAACAGTATTTGGAATAAAATCATGTGGCCTAATTTTCATAACCACAGATTTCAGAGAATACCACCATCCATGCCACGTGTGCCAGACAACCCCGTTGTCCGTTTTAGCAGTATAGGGGCCCTTATAGTATAAGCCGTTCAGGTTTGCAGAGTGACACCTAGTGGGAAGAAAAATAAACACAAAGCAATCAGACTAGAAATACATTCTTCCTAAGCCTTTATGATAAAAACATTTTGACTCTGATTTCTGCCATTTTTCAGACAATGGACGATCTATCTATCGATCAATCAATCGATCGATCGATCTATCTAGATATCTAGATATCTATCTATCTAATCTATTTTTAATGTTTTATCTATTTTTGAAAGAGAGCACGGGCAAGCAAGGGAAGGCCAGAGAGAGGAGGGAATAGAAGATCCCAAGCAGGCTCTTTGCCTGCAGCAGTAAGCTGGTGCCAGGCTCGAACTCACAAACAGAGCAAGATCATGACCTGAGCCAAAGTCAGATGCTCAGCAGACGACACCACCCAGGCGTCCCCAACAAGGGAATGTTTACTAATTTCCAAAAGGCAGGAGATTTCTACAACAGATGTTTGGTGTTTTCTTAATTACTTTTTTGTTTTTTGTTTTTTTTTAACTGATAGATTTTAGCGCCCTAACAAATCTCAAGATATAGGCCAGGTCACCTGTAGTGCACTGTAAAAGAAACATTTCTGTTCTTCATAGCTTTTAAACAAAAAAGCAAGCAAACAAAAACATGACCTTGTAACCTCTGGCCTTCACAAGAGTGCTAAGAGTTAAGGAAATGGGAACAGGGTGTGGCTGGTGTGGTGCTTGTTGCCAGCTTCCCCGGATAATTTGCACTTACGTGTTCACCTTTCTGCTGCCAAGACTTAGCTTTCGTGCTGCAAACTCCCTCTCCCCTCTTTTAAAAATCGCCAACACATCCATTATTTTAACCTCAAGGGTAAGAAAACGAAACCCAAACCACCATTTAAAGTTTTCCCAGCAGTCGACCAATAATCATTTGTCTGAGTTGCTGAATTAATTTTTTAACATACATTTTCCCAATCAATTCAATCAAAAAAGCATATAATTTACCCATAGATGCTGAATGATTGGCTTGGATCAGTTACCAACTTTGTGATTTGCTCCTGCTGACCATCCTGACAATCTCCTAATTTCTATCTGAAACCCTGCATGCTGAATCTGCACGTGTCAAAGCCTACTGTGTTTTTAAAACTGCATGAAAGGTAATGATAGAAAAGAAAGTACTCTAAGGCTCTGGAATACATATCTTGGTCTATTTCTGTTTTCCTAGAGACATCTACTACACGTACATTTTTGTTTGGTCTGTGATTTGAATCCAAATAGGAAACTGGTCAATGAAAACTCTTAGCTATTCTTGGGGCGTCTGGGTGGCTTAGTCGGTTGAGCGTCCGACTTTGGCTCAGGTCATGATCTCACGGTTTGTGGGTTCGAGCCCTGTGCTGGGCTCTGTGCTGACAGCTAGCTTGGAGCATGGAGCCTGCTCTGGATTCTGTGTCTCCCTCTCTTTGACCCTCCCCTGTTCATGCTCTCTCTCTCTCAGAAATAAATAAAACACTAAAAAATTTAAAAAAAAAAATAAAACCTCTTAGCTATTCTTAAAAAAAACACAAGTCTTTATTTATTTATTTTGAGAGTGAGCATGAGCATGGTAGGGTCAGAGAGAGGGGGAAGAGAGAATCTCTAGCAGGCTCCGCGCTGTTAGCACAGAGACTGATGAGGGGCTTGAACTCCCTCACCATGAGATCATGACCTGAGCCGAAATCAAGAGTTGGATGCTTAACCAACTGAGCCACCTGGGAACCCCCCCCCCCACCTTTTTATTTTTTAAGTTAGACTCATGAGTAAACTCACAACTCTGAGATTAAGAGCCACATGCTCTACTGACTAAGCCAGCCAGGCACCCCAAGCTTAGCTATTCTCAGACCAATTGTCCAGCATCTTTCAGCTTCTGGAACAGGACTTGCAACTAGGTTGGGAGATGGTTGGGGCTCTGTTGGTGAAGGAGCTGTGAGCATTTGCAAACGCAAAGCAGAGAACACATCAACACTCAGTGACTGGTTTGCTATGCGGAGAAAGAACATTTTGTAAGTGAGTAATAATTACGAAGTGCCAACGCATTGTGAAAGTTAGAAGAACTATAGGATTAAAAAAAAAGAGGATTAGGACGAAGAAGATGATACGATTAAACTACGGGAATGGGAGACATGGTAGAAGTAACACCGTGCTACTGGAACAGTTGACTTTTTCTCTAGCTTTACTGATTTTCCACCTGCACAGACTGGTCCTTTACCTCTCATTTGACTTCAAGGATAAGGTTCTCAGGCTGCTCGAGCTCAGTAGCTACCTTTCTTTGTTGTCTCTGAACCCGTGTATCTAAAGTCAAGTAAATTATTTATTTGCCTGGGTTAATATGTGTGCCGGTTGTCATTCAGACACAATACAAGGTAGCCAACTAGGTAGTACGTGGCAATCGTAACTAATAGGATTGTTAGTTCTATATATGGACTTCTGTTCAAAATTAAACATTAACGGATGCTTGCAACTCAGTGAATTATGGGTGAGTTTGATATAATGCATTAATTTTTACACAATGTTAACTTAGAAAGACGGGAAGAAAAAGGAGGAGGAAGAGAAGGTGACAAAGATGGTCTTTTAAAAGAACAAGAAAACTGCTAGGGAAAAAGACTATCATCACCTTTGATTGGTTAAGTAGCTAAGATACCTTTGTTTCTCTGTTCTCTTTCACTGATGTATGTGCTCTAGTGACCAAAAATTTAAAAAGTAACTCAAAATTTAAAAAAAGCAAAATCCAGCCAAAATACTGTTTTTAAAAAAATTGTTTTTTAATGTTTTACTTATTTCTGAGAGAGAGAAAAGAGACAGCATGAGCAAGGAAGGGTCAGAGAGAGAGGGAGACACAGAATCCAAAACAGGCTCCAGGCTCTGAGCTAGCTGTCAGCACAGAGCCTGACGTGGGACTCAAACCCACGAACCGTGAGATCATGACCTCAGCTGAAGTCGGATGCTTAACCGACTGAGCCACCCAGGTGCCCCGCTAAAATGCTGTTTTTACAACCACTGAATTTCAACTTGACCCACCACACTACCTACAACTAGCTGTATCTCCATGGAAGCCACAACTCTGAAATCAGCACATCACAGTCACGGAATGCTCATAGGGAAGACGCCCATGATTTGGGGGAAAGTTAACATATGCCTGATAGACCGCCACTTCCTCAGACAGGGGATTCCCAAATGCTTTATAAATACTTACATGAGAAAAAATAAAGGTTAAAAATTGGATTGTGGAACTTAAATGGATTGTCTTCAATAACATGGAAAATCTGATACTTCAGAAACACTCCGTAAAGAATCTATAATGGAAAATTTAAATGTCTAGACATTTTGAGGTAGTCTTTGTTTCCTAACGAGAAAAGAAGATGTTCAAAACTCACGCACTGCCTAACAGTTGGGGCACATCTGCTTTGCAGACATAGCAGACCCATCAGGTTATTTTTAAGAAAGAGTGTATGAAGTTTCCATTCTTGCCTAAACTTTGTAATTACAACAAAGGGAGCTTTCTGGAAACCATCTTGGGTGGAGAACAGCTCAATGAGTCAAGCATATCTGGCCTAGAGAGAGAAAATATTGAGGAATACAATAAATGTCTTCTCATGCACTGCCTCCAGGGTTAGGTTGAAAAGGAATTACAATTGCTCTGTAACTACTGAGAAAAAAATCTGGCAAAGTATAAGAAGGCAGATTCCAGATGAATAAAAGGAAAAACTTACTACAATTAAAAAAAAAAAAACCACACTGGAATGAGCTAGCTGATAAAGTAACATTGAAGTATTCACCCAGAGGGTGGAATTAAGTGTCAGGAATACTGCAGAGGAATTTTCCATACTGAGAGGAGCTTGGACTCAATAGTTTCATGGAAGTCTGAGTGACTGAAAAGTAGTATTCCATAGAAAAATTTACAAAAATCACATGGCTATCCCATGATAAGAGAAGATAAAGACCAAACTGGTTAAGAGAACACTGAAAATATTGGTCTTCTAATAAATGCTCCCTAGTTTTTCATGTCAATTTGTGGCCAACTATTTGTGGTAACTCCCCCATAGTTCAGGTTGCAAACAATCTTTGCAGAAGTAGCGATTTGATTTACTTCTGTAACACCTTTCAAGCTTTATTAATGTACACACTGAACAAATCTGCAAAAATACTTCATCACTGAAGAATCCTAATGAGTGTGATGACTTAATAATACCAGCACTACAAAGAAGACAACATTACCTCACGTTATAATTAATACCCACCAGTGAGATATCAACACCATTGTAACTGTGTTTATAAAGTGTCAAACCTGTTAAACCACCAGCCAGACTGATCTTCGTCTGCACAGTTCCCTTCGTAGTTGTCATTATCTCTGTCCTGTGTGCTGAATTTCATTCTTTGGTGACTAGCCCACCATTGCACCTCAGGATGAAAATTCCCCGTAAGGGAGTCTCCAGCTGTTCCAGAATATTCCCCGATGTTCAACTCGTAGGAATTCTAAAGGAAAAGAGGGAACTTTCACTCTCAGTTGTCACTGTAATATGTTAATTTAATAATCGATGTTCATAATATGTTTATTTAAAAAACAAAAGATAGGTTTTACTGTGTATTTTTGTCTTCACTGACTTCAGGGTTTACATTTTGTACATTAATTCATAATGTTACTTATTTGAAAATTTTAGTACCTTTTCGTCTCCAACTTTGAAAAGGTTATACTGCGCATAACGGCTATTTTTTTCAAAATCTGCAAGGTCAATTTTTAAAGTATAGTCTCCTGGAAAAAAAAAACCCAAGAAATTACAGGATATTATTGATTTGTGAGATGACACTGATTTACTGAAGTTCAAAAACACATTTCGTAGCTCTATTTTATTTAAACTGTTTCCTTCTGCCATAGGTCGGCTTTCAAAGAACAAACAGTGGCTCCATTGTATTTACAGCATGAACGTTTCCTTGTGTGTTTTACTTGAAAAGAGCTAGGGACACAATACCTAAGGTGGAAAATTTCTACTGGATTTATCATAGGTAAAGTCTAGTACAGTTCACTTGACAAAGAACAACAGAAACAAAGTCATTATTTAGCTAATAGATTAAGAAGCCTCACAATGAAAGAATAGAAATTTTAAGAAGTTTAAACATTTATCTTCTTTTTCTTACTTTCAGTAAGAGTGTTGATCTTAAAAGTAAATAATTGAACTAGGTGGTATCGTCAAGGGATCCTTTTTCCTCCATTGTCCCCTCATTTGTGAATCACAAATATTACTCTTTCTCTTTTTTGAAAAGAGTCAGGAACCAGAAAGTTATAAATCAAATTAATTGTTAGATAATATATGGTCTGTCCTCCTACTTTGAGAAATAAAATTTCACAATGACCTAGAAGATCAGGTTTGAACTTAGAGTCTTCTGTCTCCTTGGGATCCAAGCCGGAACATGGAGGCCCAGGGAGAGAGACCCTCGGGAGCCCATCATGCAGGTCTTGTCTATGGTGGGCCTCCTCTCTATCTCTATCTCTACCTCCATCGTGCACAAAAAGGGGCCTTGGCCACATTTGCGGACATTTTTGGCTGCACATCCAAGCTCTGTTTACACCTACGCTAAAAGCTGTTGCTTCACCTCCCCTCAGACTCAGGGGTGTGCCCACCAGCAACACCATCTTCTCAAGGGGGATAGATGAAGAAGAGGCATGAACAGGTCTTGGAAACAAGCCCATGTCTCTTTGGGCAGGAAATGCCAGATTGCCCCTTACTTACTGAAAGTGGGAGCAGAAGGTAAGTGTGTGGGCTTCCGTTGGCCTTGGCCCTTTCGCACCACAGACCCTCCTATGGAGCTCTCTAAGGTGGAATTTTCAAGACGCCCCCCTAATCTGATTGAAAGGCAGTAATGGTTGTGTGAGCCAAGACTGTGAAGTAGATGAGAACAGTAAGGTAGGCCAAATTAATTCTCCTACAAAATACTTTCCATTAGGGAAGAGCTATAAAGTCAGTCTCAGTGTTTCAGGTAACAATATAAATATCTTTATGGCCAATAAATAAATAAGATGGCAATTACAGACCATCCCTAAATTAATTTTATTGCAAACACTTGCAGTCAAAATCTATGTAATGGAGATAAAGCTATTTTCAGAGGAAATTCACTAGCCTTAAGTGTTCTAACAATTAAAGAATGTAGCGACAAAGGCATGCTTTTCCTTGGATGATGTGATATGTGGTTGTGAAACCTAGAATTGATAAGTACAATTTTGCTGTCATGAGAGTAACAGTCGTTCACAATTAAAACATGAAGGGGAAGCAGATGTGCTGGCTAAGTGCATCTGGATGAAGGAGCACTTAATAATAATTTAACAAATAATTTTGAACTTTGTATGTTTGGAAGGGGCCAGGGGTTACTTCTTGGAGTTTTTATAGTTTCAATAGGAAACCATGATAGATGTTACATATATCATAAAATACTCAAAATTAGGAAAATAAATACATTGAAGAAAGGGAAATATTATATAAATTTAGATAGCGTTGACTATCTAAATTGGTCACAAGAAGGGCAAGCAGGCTTCTAGGATTATTCATCTTCTCTAGCTATTATTCTGGTATCTCAAAATCCCTATAATTATAATCCTACTTATGAATTATGAATATAGAAACATCAGTCACTTTCTGTAACTTGAATGAAACAAGCAAATCCTTGTTTTTATGTTTATTGCATTGCCAGTATGATATAGCGTGCTTTCTTGAGCAATATAATTGCCTTTTAGGAAACATTCTAAATCAGACCCAAGTGGGGCTGACTATAATCTCAGACTTACAATTGAGACAAGGAAGGCAGTGAGTTGCAGTAAATGAACATGGGAAAGAGAAGCTTAGAAAATTCATCAAATGATATTTTAGACAAATACTGAACTCTAGGGGAAGATACATGCAGTAGCACGTAGTGGGAAATGTATAAATGTCTGCGATTTGAATTATGTCAATAAAACAAAGAGGCTTCCTGGATGGATAGATGTGTAATTAAAACAATTTAAAAAACTCCCAGCAAAATGTTAATGTAGAATCTGGGTAGTAGGTTGAATCTTCTTTCTGTTTTGCTGCATCTTTGAAATTTTTCAAATTAGAAGTTGATGGGGGTGGAGACGGTACATTTATTATGGTATTTGACTGTATAAAACAGCCCCAAATGCCCAATTCTTTGCCTCAGCCTTTGCAATGTGACTTTGTAACTCCTTCCATTAAGTCTCCTTAGTTCCCCCTTAAATCGTGTTCGTCCTGTGACTTTCATGTATAAGATGAAGGCAGTGAAAATGACCATGTGCCCGTTCCAAGGTTAGGTCTCAAGAAGCTTTTGTACTTGTACTCTCCTTCTTGGAATGTTGCCTCTGCTACACAAACAAGTGCAGGCTAGCTACCTGGAAGATGAGAGGCTATCTAGAGCCCAGTCTAGTTAAATCCTTAATCTGAGCCGATCTACAACAGCCAGCCAACTAGCAGACCCAGAAGTAGGTCACACACCCATGAGCAAGCCCAGCCAAGATCAGCAGAACACAGCCCTGCTGAGCAAAACTGCCCAGGTGACTTGTAGATTCGTGAGGAACAATAAATGAGTGTGGTTTAAGCCAGTAAACCTAGAAGTGGCTTGTTACACACTTATGGTAATAGATAGTTGACTCAGTATGGCTATTTTGAGGAACTTGAGGCATTAAAAAAATACAATTATGACATTACATTTCCTTTCCATAAAAAGAAAATAAATATATGAGGAATCTCCCACCCCCAGCCCATATCTAGTTTCTTTGTGTCTAGTCCCAGTTTTAAGTGGCCACATTTTATAAAGGGGATTATTGCTGAAAAGGGATCATTGGCATCTGCAAAATACAACAGTTACTGAATTCGTTCCATTGTCTGTAGTTTAGTAGAAAACATTTTAATGTTTTTTATTGTTCTGATTTTTTAAATGTTTATTTGTTTTTGAGAGGGGGGCAGAGAGAGAGAGAAACACAGAATCTGAAGCGGGCTCCAGGCTCTGAGCTGTCACAGTACAAAGCCTAATGTGGTGCTCAAACCCAGGAACCCTAAGATCATGACCTGAGCCAAAGCCTGAAGCTCAGCCCACTGAGTCACCCATGTACCCCTTTAGTGTTGTTGTTTTTCTAAAATTATACTTCAAGTGAATTTGATATCAGGCAAACCTTACCTTGTGTGGTCAATAAGTGAATATTTTTATTACCCAGCCAATATTCACCATTTTCTTGAACAAAATTTCCGAAGCCATTTTCATAGTCATTCCAGCGTCTAAAAATTTTTCAGTGAAAGCTGATTTTAGCAGAACCCAAAAGGACCTTTGCAATAGTAACCAAGGTGCCCACCGCCCCCAACTACCACCCCAATATTTTTTTGATAAGCAAATGCACTTTCAGTATTCTTATTTGGAAAGGGTGAAATTCTAATTTTAGACCTCCAGATATAATAAAAAGGCTTTACTTGTTATAAATCTTACACATGCTACTCCAAATAAATCCTTATGTCATAATTAGCACACCTGTTAAAGTTCTCACTGCCATCAGATCTTCTCTGAATTACAGTCCATCCTCCTCCATCAGACATGTCACAGTAAACGGAGAATTCTGTTGGGCTCTGGAGAGGTTTGATTTTGTAAAATCCACTGCGCTTATACCCATCATTAAAAATCTCTGAACAATCTGTTTGCAAAACAAGGTAATGTAACATTTGTTATATATATATATTTTCCCCCCATGGAAGGCTCTGGATAAGATTACTCAATACCAATGGAGATAGATAAACACTGATGTAGATAATCTGCTTTTTAAACCTGCATCTTTTATATCTACCAGTAGATATTAGGAAAATCTTATTTCCTTTCCTAATAGTTAATTATATCTGACTCCTTGACATGATCATGAAAAGAAATAAAATAGGGATTTGTTTTCTCTTTTCTGATTTTTGTGAAAAACACTTAAAAAATTATATATGATCAATTACAACATAGTTAAGTGGAACTTATAGCTGTATCTGACAGAATAGTAGAACTTATCTCTCCTATGAAGCTAAAATTGGAGTAGAACTGGAACCTCAAGCAAATAACATAATATGGGTTATCTTGGCTTAGAACATTATAAATCATTCTGAACATCTGGAGATGAATTCAAAATAGTAATCTTGTTAGATTCTTATAACCTCCCGGTTTCAATAGATTTTTTTACTAACCCACTGAAATTTCTAACAGTCCATGCATTCTTAGATGCTTTTGCTAAAAACTGCAAACTTCTGCTATTCCTTTTATCTCTGCATTCTTCTTTGCCATGATATTTCTTTGACCATTGAAGCAAACACAGCTACCAGCTTGTCGCCAAAACGTAGTATATATTTCTTTAACTACTTGAGGGTAGGATATATTAATATCTACTGGGTGTCATCTATGCTGACTTATACACACTTAGAGAATTTGGCAAGTGTGGGCCTCACTATGGTTTCAGTGTCTGGAATGTTGGTTGAAGTAGTGGCCACAATAAAGAGATGGTCTCAAGAATACTTACAGAGTTTTGAGTCAAAATACTATAAATTATAGCTAACTTGAACATTTTACCCTTTAGCATTTTACTAATTTCCTTCCTTAAAAAACAAACAATGAAACGACATTTTCTGTTCCTGATTGGAGAATTCCATTCTGTTAGCATATTTTCAAGTTCTTTCTTCATTTTCATTGTTTTGATGCCAAATTATCTACAACTCCATTTTGTTACCAGTAAAATGTACTGCACACCAAATAGACAGAATAGGCAATAGGAATTAGAAGAGAAAATAAAGAACCTTTGTCACTTTCTAGAGTCTTCAGCACGGTAAGACCAATCATATACCACTACTGAGGTAAGATGTTCATCTTTGTCATAATTTAGGTTTTATTCATATATTTATTTCTGAGATTCAGAAGCACATTCCTTATGCATGTTGGGTTCTTAGAGACAGAGAGAGACAGACCTTTTTTTGGCAATTAAACAAGAAGAAAAGTATTACCTAAAATTAGGTCAGTGTTGTTCAAAAGCATGCATTTTCTGGTCAAGTAGATCGTACAACACTTTTCATTAAAGTAAGCAGATTTTAACCTTATTAAGGATGGAGCTCTTTGCTCCATATAATCTCCAACCAAAGAGCTGAATAGTAAAGACTCTAAAGATTCAGACTGTTTTCCAGGCAAATATGGAAATGATTAGCTATAACATTTGCCTCTGGAAAACTTTGTGACTATAGCATGTGCAGCCAACATTTTCTATTTCTTTCTATTTTATGCCAACTGCAAGTTTGTGTTTTGAAAAATGTGTCCTTCTTCCCAGAGGAAAAATCCAAACACAATTTAAGATCCAGAGCAAAGCTTTCAACTTAAAAAAAAGAAAAAAAAAAAAAAACTAAAACAAAAAACACCCAACAAATGAAAACAAAACAAAACATCAAAGAAGCACCAGTAGCAAAATTGCTCATAAGAAAGAAGTTAGAAATAAGGAGGCTGCTTTGGGGAAATGTGAAAATAGGACTTGCATCTCAACAGCAGGAAGTTCAAGCAACGGAGGGTGTAAAACATTAACTAGATATTTGAAACTATGATTTTCAAACTGTTTCAACCCATTCACCTCCCCAGATAGTAAGCAGGCAAGGGCAAGATTAGAAAGCTCTGTGTTCCTGGGAGTTTAAAAAAAAAAAAAGGGATTTGGGGATACTTACATAATACTAGAGTGAGGCCAAGGTTGCCTGCCCTGTGACAAACAACACGCTGTACTGGATGAGGTGAATACTTGCTCCAACCATGCAGAAAGCAAGCCATGTTGGAAGGCTGAATGTTTAATCTTCACAAAGTGACATGATAACTTGCCAAATGGACTTTTCCCTTTTGTCCCAGAATGGTGGCTGCGCTCAAAGCTCAAGACCGAAGGCGCTAAGTACCCCACATTCTAAACTCAAAGAAAGGCCAGCATGAGCTCAGCTGCCCCCAAGGGCATGCTGGGAAATTCTAGAGCTAACCCTGCTGCAGCCATTCTTACCACCCTCCCTCACCCGCTGGTGACCTTAAGAAGGAAACAAGAGAAGAAAGGATAATGATTCCTTGGAGAGGGCCGGCTTCTTGAAGGGTGGGGTGAGCAGGCTCTCTCCTTTGAAAACAAGAGAGAGGGTATATAATAATGTGGATAGAGCGCTGACATTCACTGAGCACCTCTTTTGTATGAAATGCTATTGGAATCATGTTACATGTGTTAACTCTTAATGTTCACAACAAAGAACCATTCTTATCATTCCCATTTTACAGATTAGGAAACTGAAGAACATAAAGGTTAAGTAACTTGCCCAAAGGCCACAGCTAGCAAGATGGACAGCTGGGCTTTCAAACCAGGCTTCAGAGGCAACACCTTAATCACTACACATGCCTCAAGGGGCTGTCTAATAAAGATTGAAGGCCTTGCAGAAGGGGATGTGGTTAAACCAGTGGTCTTGTTGACAAGATGTAATGCCACAGGCTATGGTAAGTGTCACCAATTAATTGAATTTAGTATCTTTTAATTTAAGTACACAATTTAATAGCAGCCAAAAGCTTTTAAAAAGGATACATTTAATTATATGTTGTATAAAATCACATGATTTGTGCATTATTTGCACAAATTGCTAGGTTGTGTGCAATTAGGTGGTTTGTACCATGAGATGAATTAGAATTCAGAAAACAAATTAGTAATGAAACAGTAACTTGTAAATAAGAACAAAGAAGTTTATATTTCTACAGATGGTACACATGAATATTTCTTTTTTTTAAGTTTGTTTATTTTGAGAGATAGAGAACATGCACAAGCAGGGGAGGGGCAGAGAGAGAGGGGGAGAGAGAAAATACAAAACAGGCTCCATATTGTCAATGAGGAGCCTGATGTGGAACCTGAACTCGTGAACTGTGAGATTATGACCTGAGTCAGAATCAAGGGTCGGGGGCGCCTGGGTGGCTTAGTCGGTTAAGCGTCCGACTTTCGCTTAGGTCGTGATCTTGCGGTTCGTGGGTTCGAGCCCCGCGTCGGGCTCTGTGCTGACTGCCAGCTCAGAGCCTGGAGCCTGTTTCAGTCTGTGACTCCCTCTCTCTCTGACCCTCCCCTGCTCACGCTGTCTCTCTCTCTCTCTCTCCTAGAAATAAATTTTTAAAATTTTAAAAAATTAAAAAAAAAAGAAAAAGAGTCAAGGGTCAGACGCTTAACTGACTGAACCACCCAGGCACCCCAATGAACATCTGATATTTTAATTTAAGGAGACCAAAAACATAAACTTTGGTAACAAGTTCTTACATATATTTTAAACTTTGGTAGTAAGTTCTCATATATTTTATACAACATTATACATTATGTTAATTATATACTTTTTAGAATTTATGGTTGTTATATATTTTATTTATCAAAGGTTTGCCTTTGGCAGGCTCTCTAGTACTATTTGCCTATATGCTATAAAATAAAGTGCAGTTAAACTATATTTATATTTCATAATTTATTCCTTCTTCTCCTTCATGCTTCTAGCTTATATGAATTATATTACATAGTTCTACTAACTGCTCCATTTTTTTTTTTGAGTTGAGGGAGGGCAGAGAGAGAGAGAGAGAGCATGAGAGAGAATCTTAAGCAGGCTCCATGACCAACTCTGATCCCACTGCAGGGCTCGATCTCACAACTATGCGATCATGACCTGAGCCAAAATCAAGAGTCAGATATTCACCTGACTAAGCCACCCAGGGGCCCCCTTTGAATTTTTTTTTCTTTAGCTGTTATATCCCAAACCAGAAAATGTCTATCATCTATCTTATTTTATGCATTATAATGTTATAAGACAGACATACACACACACTACAATTGATTGTCTACACCCTGACCATATGACTCTTCCATCCAACTCCTGTTTATACAGTCAGTCCTGCTCTGCTCTTGGTATCTTAATTTCCTGGTACCTGATTTCTGCCTTACTCTTTGGTGACTTATTTCCCAAAGTCTCAACTCAGCACTCCCGACACAGGAATTGGAGTTCTAGCTCCTAAACCTGAGTCTTCCGATGACTATGTTTTCCCATGCACAGTCCTAGTAACAAACCTCCAGTCACCTGCCTCCTGACCTTATTGAACACTTGAATCTGTATTCACAACCTGTTCAGATTGCATTTAAATAGATATCCTGGGTTTTGGGCTTAGTTTGGAATTTGGACTAACGGTGCTTCTCTTTGCCCTTGGGATCAGCTGTGTACCTACTTTTGGAATCACATAAGATGCCAGCAGCGTTGGGCTCTTCTGAACCTTCTGTCCTTGGCTTACAGACGGCTGCCTTCTTGCTGTGGCCTCGCGTTGTCTTTCCTCTGTGGATGAGTGCCCCAGGCGTCTCTTCTTATAAGGACACCAGTCAGATTGAATTAGGGCCCATCCTAATAGCCTCATTTTAACTTAATCTCTTCTATTAAGGCCCTATCTCCAAATACAGTCATATTCATAGACATTGGGGGTGAGACCTTCAACATTTGAATGGGGGGGGGGGGGGAAGCACACAACTCAGTCTTTAAGACAAAGTCACCAGTCAAACGGCCTTTTGGCCATTCTGGTTATCCCCTTCTCTGAATCAACCTTATCAACAGTGATTGGCCTAATTACTCCAGTGATATCCTACCCTGACATTGGTATCTTACATTTTCCACAATCTTAGGATAGGTAGTTGAAGTCTGCTGAGTGTATAACTGACTACATTACGATTAGGCCTTCAACATTCACCAAATGAAAAGGGTACTGAATTCCTACCATGCCCTACCTCCCTCCCACCTGAAAAGAAGTAAAGCCTTCTATAGTAGATGGCGCCTCCTTAACCTGTGGAAAGAAATTTGGGGAGGAGCCTGGCCTGATTCTGGTCTTGAACCATCTCATCCGCACCCATCAACAAAAGCACAAATCCTTTGCAGTCTTGTAGGGATTCTCATTTAATTGGTCTGGAGTGGAACCTGAGCACTATTTACAGACACTTTCCCATGGGTCAGTTGTCTTTCTCCATATTTTGCAAGCAGAGTTTATGTTCTGGACTATTTTTTCCAGGAGGTTTGTATGGTAAGCAGCCTTATAAGATAGAGACCATGTCTTCCTCTAGAGCAGTTGACAGATTAGTTTCTGCCCACTTCCATAGAGATAACATCTCTTGCAAAGGAGAAAAGACTGAGCAGCTTTGCTTGTAACCCATTATAAAAGATTGAGGTTTCCTAAAGTCAGGGTTCCTCAGCTGTGACACAGCCCACAGCCTGCACAATCTCCACTTTGCTCCCTTAGTATTCACAGGCAAGGGATATTGGTACAAACACGAAGTTCATGTCTCTGACCCCGGCATCTCTTATCTTCTTCCAGCACCCATGAAAGCTAGGCAGGCTAACTGAAAATAGAATGACTTGCAAATGGAGTAAAATCTCAGACCATCTACAGTTCTTCATAGGTGATAGCATGGTAACAGGTCACCAGGTGATGATTCTAACTGTAGACCAGGCTGAGAATCATGGTCTTCAAGGAGTCTCAACTGACTGTGCTCCTTATTCGAGTGCTTTCCTTAGCCTTCTTTCATTGTTGTCTTCTTAGGTTCTAGTTCCTGTTCTTTGCCCCTGAGATTGCTTCACACAGTCCCTTTGTTTCCCAAGCCTATTTTTACTCGAGCTGTCTTTGGTTCCTCTTTGTTCCATGCCACAGAGCCACAAGCCATCCTCACCCTACATCCCTCCTTCTGATCCTGAAATGGGGGAAGGGGAGTTCTATTTCAAGAATCAAGAGTTAGGGATCAACTGGCTGGACAATAGTGTCAGGAGCCCTGGACAAAAAGTCTGACCACAAAGAGATTAGGTTCTTGGGTAAAGAAAGAAATAGGGAACATTTCATTGAAAGATAATTTCTAAAATTCTCACAATTCTTACATCGCTCACTGATGAGTATATTTAGAAACACACAAAAAAGATGTCTTTATTCCATCAGCCTGGAATCTCTTTAGCCTCTACAGTTTTTCAGTTACAGTTAGATATATTTTCCAACTTACATTTGCTATTTAGCGATTCCTATCTCTCTCTACTACCTTGCTTTCTTTCATAAGTGTGAGGCTTTATTATATTCCAGGTGCTCTAATGGGTGATAGGGAAGAAAGATTGATGAAACATCATTCCTAACGAAGTGCCTGCTCAATTGACCAGGATAGACTCATAAACAAAAGAATTATAATACATCATGGCAGTAGCCAGAGCAGACATATAAACAAAGTGCTCTAAATAGCATTCTAATTTCTGACAACTATGGCTTGTTTACTTTAAAAGAAGCCTGGAGGAAGGCAGGTGAATAGTTTTCTACAAAGAATAATGATATGTGCATTGAATATGTTGACAGTTTAAGATCATTAAGTTTCTGGGTGGAAACATAGAAACATTGAAAGGAATATTATCAAACCATAAAATATGCACAGAAAAACAACTCTTGTATTTCCCTAAATAATTGTGATCCTTTTTCATTCCCTGCCCTTTTATTCTATTACCTCATGTACTACCCTAAAGCACATACTGGGCCTCAGAAGGGAAAACTGTATAAATGTAACAAGAAGTGCTACACAGAAACAAAACTCAACTGTAAAATTTTTCAGATATGTCATTTGCACACCCATATGTGAATAATCCATTGTCTTTGATCTCTCTTTAAATTTTTTTAATGTTTATTCATTTTTGAGAGACAGAGAGAGACAGAGCACAAGTTGGGAAGGGGCAGAGAGAGAGGGAGACACAGAATCTGAAGCAGGCTCCAGGCTCTGAGCTGTCAGCACAGAGCCCGACGCGGGGCTCGAACTCTCAAGCCACGAGCTCATGACATGAGAAGAAGTCGGATGCTTAACTGACTGAGCCACCCAGGCGCCCCTGATCTCTCTTTAAAATATAGAAATTCTGAGATATTTCGCATTGATATTAAATATCCCCTACAGAGATAATAGAAAAGGATAAAGTTAAATTTATACCAAATATACATTTGGCATAATGCTTCATGCTGCTTGTTATTAGAATAGGAAATGCCCTTTAGAGAAACCTGAAGCGACCAAATAGCGAGCACCACCATTGCACAGTGATGGGAGTTAAAAGTTACTGAAACACATATGAAAATTAGGTTCTGACCTGCATATTGCCTTTTGCCTCCAAGGTCCATGACAGTATTCTCCTCTCCTTTATCGAGGAACTGGACTTCGTTCTCATGCAAAAGCTGTGTGATCTTGACCTGTTGCTGTTTGACCCGGGTCTCAAGCACGTGCACCTGGGCTCTGAGCCGTGCCTGCTCCTGGAGACAATTCTCTAGAGCCTGCAAAGGAATGTGCAGCTCACTCTCATTGGGAAATAAATGCTCTAACAAGTTGGACAAATTAATCACTCAATTTGGTCCCCAACTCTCATTTGAGAAGATTATTCTGACCAGAATGTGGTTTGAAACCGATGATACTTGTTATTTGAAGAAAAAATAATTACGGCTATCATAAAGTGCTTGAACTAGAAAGTTGTATATTAATATGAAATAACCTGAATGACTACATTAAGAGCTTTAGACTCATTTTATCCTCGTAATGATTCCAGGAGGGAGGAATTGGCTCAGTCCTGGTGAGGAAGGAAACTTGCCCAGGAATTTCCAGCAGGTAGGAGGAGTCGGGATTCAAATCCAGTTTGAAATCCCTGCTCTCAATCTCTGCATGACACCACCTAATGCTTTCTTGACAGTTAAGTGCTTCACGGCATCATTGTGCATTGCTAGTGTGTCAGTCTCTAAAATAAACAGGGCTTTTGAACGACCTTTTGGTATTAATGTTTTAAAAATTTAATTGAATACTTACAATCTGATGACATGCAGTCGCCTTTATCAGAGGATGCTAATTTAGATCCTCATATCCCCGATTATGTCACCCATTTACCTGTGACTGGAAATTCTACTGAAATCACTTTAACTTTTTGCTTATTTTTTGTTTTTCCTTCAATTATTTCAGAGAGGGATAGGAAGAGTCTGAGTTTTCCAGTTAAGGCATTTATCTTCTCTCAAAGAGCAACCCCCCAAGAATACTGCACGTGCAAAAGTTTATCAGATCCTTTCTAAACCGGCTTCTGACTGAGGACTCTCCAAAGAGAAAGCAAATGTTGGGGGAAGGGGGGTTAATTGGGAAGGTGAGCTGCACAGGTGGGTCTCCTGCAGGAGGTACCAGGGCCAAGAAGCTGCAAGAAAGGCTCTTGGGTACTCAGTGTTGGAAGAGTTACTAGAGGTCTGGTGGGCGGAAAGGACAAAAGGCAATTTTTTTTTTTGCCATTTTCCACTTTTACTTTGACATCTCTCTTTGCAACTTATGTCATGATCTCCTGTGATAAGTGTAAATGTTTACTTTTGAGAAATTATGAATTTTCACGTGTAGGTGCTTTATACCACTACCTTTATATACGTTATTGCCTAAAACAGCCATCAGATGTATTTCCCAATTTACAATTGCCTCTCGGTTCCTAACTTTATGTACTGCCTTATGCGTTTCCATATATATAGGAAGAGCCACTATGTTCCAGACCCTCTGCTGGTTGGTCAGAATAGCACAGCTGGACGCCCTATTTGGGACAGAGGTACATTCCCTTCCTGTGAAGGCCTATCCTGGAAACCCAGAGATTCAACCTCAGAATGGGAAATCACACAGCAAGAGTATAGAGAATTGTTGTGACAGATCTTCTCCCGTTTTCAAGTCCAGGTCACTGAATGTCTCCAACTATTGCTCCAGGACCATTTCTTATTTGTTCCTGGTGCTCTCTCTTTAACACTCCTTGATTTAGCCGCTCTGAAAGAATTATTTACTTAGCTCCCTGATTCCCACCAGTCTAAAACATGAGCAGCAAACCGTTCATGGGGTCTGGGATCCTGCGCTGCTTTCCAGTAGGTGGCAATTGGCTGTGATAGTGTTAAATATAGTGCAGTGTGCAATTTAAAAATAACTGAAAGTAGAGGGCAAGTATCTTTTATCTTTAAAAGCCTACATACGTGGACTTAGTGAGTTTATTTTAAATTTAGGAGTTTTCTCTCTCCCAGAGCTTTGAGTAAATGAGTGTTTTCTCCCTTTTACTTGTAAGTGGAGGAAGGCAAGGCGTGAGCTCCCTGTAATTACTGTCAAAAAGTTTGTTTAGTTTACACTAACAGTGGTCAGCATTGGAAAGCTCGATATTGGGAAAGCCATGGGTTAATTTTAATTACTATGGATAGTTTTAAATTTCTAACATTATTTAACTACCTAAGTAACCCCAGTAAATCCAAAAAGATTTTCCTTATTTATGGCAAATACTGGTTTTTGACTTTAAGAACAAGTTTGAAAGCACTTGGTAAGTGCCTAATACGTGACAGGGGCTTCTACAAACCTTATTCATTTTCTCCCCCCTCAGGTGATTTTTTTTGGTGACAAATTACTATATGTTTTCTGCAAAATAAAAGAAGATGCAAGTCAAAGTAGGCATTCTAGAAACATAAATAAATGAGCTTACCCAGCTCTTCCTGCCCATTACTAGAGCAGTGGTGACAAGGAGAACACTGAACATCTTTGCCATTTTCTCCATCGAAACAACTGCAAGCACAAAAGAAAGTTCATTAACTTATTTACTGTGAGTTTTTCATGACACCAGAGTTGGGTTCAGACCCAACGCAATCCAGGAGGCCAGATGCAGCGCCATCTTTAATCTGAGAGTCTTCGGGGAAATTCTCCTGGGCTTCCCCATGCCTCCCTCGCACAGGATGATGCTCTCTGTGACCTTAAATAGGATCGAACCCGTTTAATTACAGAAATAGAGAAGAAGTTTCTGGAAGGCTCAGTAGGTTAAGCTTCCGACTTCTGCTCAGGTCATGATCTCAGTTTGTGGGTTCAAGCTCCACTTCAGACTCTGTGCTGGCAGCTCGGAGCCTGGAGCCTGCTTCCGATTCTGTGTCTCCCTCTCTCTCTGCCCCTCCCCCACTTGTGCTCTGTCCCTGTCTCTCAAAACTAAAAATGTAAAAAAATGGAGAAGGGACTCTGATTGTCTTTGAGGGTCTTACTGTTAATGTGCCGTTTGTGCAGAAAAGGCAGAGGCTCTGTAACCATGAAGGCTTGGCTCCGTAGTTTGGCTGAGCCACTTCCTCCTTGTGGGACCCCAGACAACCCACTAAAATGCTCCTGATTTGTAAAATGGAAATCGTAATTTCTTTTTTTATTTTTTTTTAATGTTTTATTTATTTCTAGGAGAGAGAGAGAGACAGCGTGAGCAGCAGCAGCGGAGGGTCAGAGAGAGAGGGAGACACAGACTCCGAAATAGGCTCCAGGCTCTGAGCTGGCAGTCAGCACAGAGCCCGACGCGGGGCTCGAACCCACGAACCGCGAGGTCATGACCTAAGCGAAAGTCGGACGTTCAACCGACTAAGCCACTCAGGCGCCCCTGGAAATCGTAATTTCTACCTGACAGGACCATGGCAACTTTGACATAATATTTTTAGATAGATCCTGGCATAGGATACATGCCTCATGAACACTTACTTTGCACATAGAAGACTGCTTTTATTTTTCAACAACTAAAGGAGGTGATAGACATTGTTTTTCTTGATGTCTTAATGTATAGGCAAGCTACCAAGATAATATAAAATTTTCGGCTCTGTTTCAAGTTGTAGAGGAAAACTCACTTTACCATTTCTTGAGATTATTTTTATAAATTTTTGTAATGTTTATTTATATTTGAGAGATAGAGAAAGAGTACAAATGGGGAAGGGGCAGAGAGAGAGAGAGACACACACAGAATCTGAAGCAGGCTCCAGGCTTTGAGCTGTCAGCACAGAGCCCGATGCAGGGCTCAATCTCACAAACTGTGAGATCATGACCTGAGACAAAAGCAACAGTTAGATGGACACTTAATCAACTGAGCCACACAGAGGCCCCTAGAGTGTGAATTTTTAGAGTGTGTGAAATTTGCACGTTACAGAGAGTAATAAAGAGTCTGCTAGATAGAATTGTATAATTTTACTTCTGGCTGACGTTTGTTTTACTATGAATGTAGAAATGTGCTGTGTATTTTATAAGCATCTTCTTCAATTCTCAAGTAACTCTATACAGCAAGTACCATTATCCCCATCATACAAATGAATAGCTCAGAGAGGTTAAGTCACTTCCTTAATATCACACAGCCACTTTATGGAATATGCAGCAGTTGAGCTGAAGGCTTTCCACCTTGATAGCCCATGCATGCCTTTAACCTGAACTCCACACGGCCTTCATCATTATCCACATATGTCTGTAATACACAGAGAAACAGGCTGCATGGACAAACAGAAGCCCTCCCCTTCACATTCTCCAGGGAACAGCAGTCTCACTCCTGAACATGGCTGTGACTTATTTGTTCCTTAGTCACACACTTCTCCGAAGGAACATTAGGTTAATCCGGCAGGAGAGGGGGCAGCTTGCCTGAAGCAGAGGCAATGCAAGGGAATGGTAGTGTTTGCAAACATTTACTCATTATCAGCTGTCTCTGTGCTCCGTTCTGTGCCACATGCTGTGAAAGAGTAAACATAGCAGCCTCAGCGAGGCAATGTTTCATGCAAGAAATGAAAATGACTATTAAAATGGAAATTAAGGACAGTATAAAGTAAGCATACATGAAACCTTATGTAATTCAATATAAAAAAACCTGAACTTTCCCAGACCACCCCTCAATACAAAATTAATTACTTCCTCTTCTGTGACCCCCCCCCCCCCCCGCCCCACTATATTTATAGACCAAAATTGCATTTATCCACTCAGTAAACATTGTTCCCATGCCTGCTGTGTTCCCGGCACTGGGCCAAGTGATAGGATTACTTGCTTAGAAAAACTGCTTAGAATAAGATTTTTGAAGGCAAAGTCCCCACCTTGCTAATTATTGTATACCCAGCATCTAACTTATTTTTGCAACCCCAATAAATTTTTACTTGTCTCTGCCAAACATTTTCCCCAGGAAAGAAAAATCTTTCTCGGAGGTGAGAATGTGCTTTCCTTGCTGTAAAACTAGTCTGTTTGCAGTGACAATACTTCCTCCTTCCTCCTCTATATTTATCCTGATCGGGGGAAAACCAATGGCCTACGTGTATTTTTTAAAGTAAACGTTAGGAAGGAGTTGGAGACTTTTGGGGTGCCTGCGTGGCTCAATCATTTGAACATCCAACTCTTGATTTCAGCTCAGGTCGTGATTCCAGGGTCATGGAATAGAGCCCCATGTTGGGCTCCATGCTCAGCATGGAACCCACTTAAGACACTCTCTTTCTCTCCCTCTCCAGCTCTCCCCTACTTGTGCTCTTTCTCTCTAAAGTGAAAAAAAAAATTTTTAATGGAAAGGAGTTAGGGACTTTGGTTGGATTGAACACATGCATTTATATCTCCTTTCTTGCAAAACCCCACTAGAAAAAGAGTAAAGAAAAATGGCAAAGACATGAATTGACAAGGGCGAAGAGAGAGGGAGCGGAGCAAACACCTGGCATGCAAGGTTAGCTGTTCATAGGTTGTACAAAGTGTGTGGGGGAGCTGGCATCGCTGCAAAAACTGAGGAACAAGCAGCTGCAAAGGGGGCCGGCACAAGAAGCAAGCTAAGCAGCATCGCCGTGCCCCTGCCCGATGCAGGGCTGAAGGCACCAGCCAGCATGCAAGGCAGGGTGCAGGTGATCGCCTGCATTCAGATCCTCACCTAAACCCTGAGCAGTCCATGAATACTGCTTCTCCCACACCATCAGATAACAACGCTTAGTTGTTTTGTTTTGTTTTTTTTAGCTTAAGTCCAAGTTAGTTAACATACAGTGCAATAATGATTTCAGGAATAGGATTTAGTGATTCATCCCTTAAATGTAACACCCAGTGCTCATCCCAACAAGTGCCCAAGTACCCTCCTTGATGCCCCTCATCTATTTAGCCCTTTCTCCCACTCAACAACCCACCAACAATCCTTAGTTTGCTCTCTGTGTTTTAAGAGTCTCTTGTGGTTTATCTCCCTCTCTGTTTTTATACTATTTTTGCTTCCCTTCCCCTATATTCATCTGTTGCTTTTTTTAATATTCCACATATGAGTAAAACCGTATGATACCTGTCTTTCTCTGACTGACTTATTTTGCTTTAGCATCATACAATCTAATTCCATCCGCATTGTTGCAAATGGCAAGAGTTCATTCTTTTTCATTGTCAAGTAATATTCCATTGTGTATATATACCACATCTTCTTTATCCATTCATCAGTCAGTGGACATTTGAGCTCTTTGCATACTTTGGTATTGTTGTTAGTGCTGCTATAAACATTGGGGTACATGTGCCCCTTTGAAACAGCACTCCTGTATTTTTTGGATAAATATCTAGTAGTGCAATTGCCGGTTTGTAGGGTAGTTCTATTTTTAATTTTTTGAGGAACCTCCATACTTTTTTCCAGACTGGCTGTATCAGTTTTCATTTCCACCAGCAATGTGAAAGTTTCCTCTTTCTCTGCATCCTTGCCAACATCTGTCATTGCCTGAATTGTTCATTTTAGCCATTCTGGCAGGTATGAGGTGGTATCTCATGGTGGTTTTGATTTTTATTTTCCCGATGATGAGTGGTGTTGAGCATCTTTCAATGTGTCTGTTAGCCATCTGGATGTCTTCTTTGCAAAAATGTCTATTCATGTCTTATGCCCATTTCTTCACTGGCTTATTGGTTTTTTGGCTATTGAGTTTGATATGTTCTTTATAGAGTTTGGATACTAACCCTTTATCTGATATGCCATTTGAAAATATCTTCTCCCATTCCATCCGTTGCCTTTTAATTTTGTTGATTGTTTCCTTTGCTGTGCAGAAGCTTTTTATCTTGATGAGGTCCCAATAGTTCATGTTTGCTTTTGTTTCCCTCGCCTTAGGAGTCATGACTAGTAAGCAGTTGCTGCGGCTGAGGTCAAAGAGGCTGTTGCCTGTTTTCTCCGCTATGATTTTGGTGGCTTCCTATCTTACATTTAGGTCTTTCATCCATTTTGAGTGTATTTTTGTGTATGGTGTAAGAAAGTGGGCCAGGTTCATTCTTCTGCATGTCGCTGTCCAATTTTTCCTACCACCATTTGCTGAAGAGACTGTTTTTATTCCATGGGATATTCTTTTCTGCTTTGTCGAAGATTAGTTAGCCATACGTTTGTGGGTCCATTTCTGGGTTCTCTATTCTGTTCCCTTGATCTCTGTGTCTGTTCTTGTGCCAATACCACACTGAACAAGACTTACTGTTCACTGAGGTTGAACTAGAGAGGTTCCAGGTAGCACGACAGCAGGCACGGTAGAAGTCGGGGAGAGTGCTCTGCTCTTTAGGTTGAGACACCTCCCCACCTACCACCAGGATCCATCTGTCCTGGCAGCCAGGCAGCCCTTCCTCTACTCCTCTCATGACTTTCCAGGCCAGAGACGTGAGATTTCTCTCCAGAGGAATGAATAGGCTCAGAGGAAAGATCATCCGAGACTAATGTAGGGCGATTCTCCAACAAAAGAGCCTTGTCCTTGCTTAATCATTTTCCAAAGAAGCCGGTGGATTGTCAGGCCTCATTCATGTATACAGGAAAGGTACAGGCACAGT